CTAGTCATGTAATCTGAATGTACTACCAGTGTCAATATTGAAAAGCTATGGCCTTGTGTCATTGGTTGCAGCATACTGCCAGAGAAGTGTCAGGGACCAGAGTGTAAATTCATTACGTATTGTGAGGAGGACTGTTGACAACATACTTTCAAATATGCTATGCATTACATTGCAAAATGAAGACAATATGGCAATATTTTCCAAGCAAAATTTTTCACCTGAGATGTGACGCTGACCACTCACCCCCATCTAGTGCCGAGATCAAGGAAGAGAGGAGCTATACCTCCACTCACCCCAAACGCCTATATGGCGTATAGTGGGACAAACTTTACTTTTTTAAATGACATTGTTAATGACAGTAAATATTTAAGACAATTATATGCTCTGCAAACCCTGAAAAGTAATTAATTTTTGTTAGTCTGGCAGTATATTTTCTACTTTTCATATATTTTAGCTGAAATGCACTCTGTTCAGGTCTCATTATTGCAAAACCTTTTTTGAAGGTTAAACACACCGAACTATGTCACTGTAGCTGAAGACAGTCAGAGCTCCATGTTTAAAATGGGATTATTGTATAATACAATATTAACCTAAAACTTTATTATGCAGTATGCAGCAAAAGTAACAGTAGTAATAAGAGAAACTTATAGCTTTTTTGGGAAAACAAATATTTACACTTGATGAAATACTCTCGGGTTAAAAGCCGCATCAGGTGGCTATATGGCGAATAAACCGCATCTTCCTGACGCGGCTTGTAACCCGAGAGTCTTTCATCAACTTCAGTTGTCGCAAAAGTTTCACTTTATGCAAATATTTACACCATAAAATTTTATGTCTAGGAAACGAACAGCACCAAAGCACTGAAAATAGCAACTTAAGCTGCATATTAATACAACAATATGAAATAATTAAAAAAATTATGCAATAATAAAGTTTATTATGAAACATGCATTTCAGCAATTCAAGGTGATCTGATCATGCGTCCATCAGATCTGGATAGACAAAAAATTACTCCAGATTTTACCGAGAACTACACTAAGAAAAGACATGCATATGAAGTGTGTTATAAAAAATGTGCTCCACTTACATATTATATTACGTTCTGAAGTTTCAACCTCCTCCAAACAGACTGATTCATCAACACGAATATCATTTTATGCACACAGATTTGAAACATATTATACATTTCAAACAGCAATTAGTTAGAAGAACTTTTCTATATTTATTATAATCTGAGTTATAACACAAGATTACCACATCAATAACTTCTATCAAGAACCCAAGCAGAGAGAAAACATTTCATGTATATTTTGTGAGTTATCGTAACAGGGCAAGTCTGTCTTTTTTTAAATAGTTCTATGATAACGTGCATTATGAGTTAAGTTTCAATGTGGGAATTTGGTGTGTCAAAACTGGGATGTGACACAAACATTATTTAATTCCCTTTACTCTTTTGAATTTGACTGCTGGGCAGGAAGAGGATAGGTCACACAAATCAGACATAAATCTCTTCACTTAATCATGATTTCTATTCCTTGGGAACAAATGCTGACTCGCTGACTCAAATTTAGTAAAGAGGAACTTTTTACCACAAACAGTGTGGCTGCGTTTGGCAGTTCAATACAAATTTCCCGATCTCCACTGTCATGCAGCTTGCATTCTTTCCAAAAAGTTACTTACTTTCTCCATAAGTTCGTTGTTAGTTTTGTCAAGAATTATGCATGTGTTTGTGCACTCTTAAATCATTATCGTAGCAACTGTAACATCTACTGAATCACATTGCGACTCTTATAGCCCTATGTTCACTAGAGGGAAAAGAAAAAAAGAAAAGCGGTTCTTACACACCAAATTTATGTAACCATATTAAAGTACACGCTACAGATTACGGCTGACGGGCTTAGATGCACTGTAGCAACATTCCAGCCAACAAATCAGCTTAACTTTGTTGTAGCCGACTAGATGGAAGAAGTCCTCTCATGATATATGTGATTTTCTACTTACAGTTGCAGTTTTGGTGCATCACTGTACATAGAGGAGGGGGATTATAATAAATAATGAATTAGAAAGGATTTGGAAGTGGCCATGGCCTAATTTAAGGTACTATCCTGGCATGTCTGGAGGTACTGAGGAAAACCATGGAAAAACCCAGTCAGGATAGGTAGTCCCCAGACCAAGATTTTTCCCTGGGACCTCCCGAATACGAAGCAGTAGTATTAACCACCTGACCATGACATTCACAGCATTCACTGCAGTCAAATTGGGGCAAATATAAAAGAATTATTATGCTATGCATGTATTTCTTAACTTGTTATACCAAAGATTCTTCTATTGTAAAGAAGACAAGTAAACACTCAATTTGCTTATGAAAGTGTGTAGTAAAATAGCTTTGATAAATTTTCCATGATATCTGAAGAAAATACAGGAATATAACAAATGTATAATAATTATTGAAGTAAACTGTTTTCTTGTTATTATCCATCGTCCAAGACCAAATAAAATAAAAAAAAAAATCGGAGATAGGGATTAGCTCTATCGATTGGGTCTAACAGAGTAGGTTTTACCTGAAGACGGAGATAGACTCCCATCTCCAAAACATCGTGGTTTTCTATTGATTTTATTTAGTCCTGAACGAGGGATAATATCCAGAAAACAATTTGCTTCAATAACACACCATCGTCACAAACCTTCAGCATAACAATTATGTGAATGTGGAAAATCCCAAAATATGGCAAGCATCTGGTCCCAAGTCTGGTGGATAATGGGTCTCTTTCAGTACATACACTCAATTTGTTAATTAACTCTTAATACTGCAAAATGAAGTACAGTAAGATAAGAATCAACATTTTAATAAGCCGTTTTTAGAAGTGACAAAGCAAAAGCTATAAGCATTAATTACATACCGACTACTTTTGCATGATACGCTTGTAATTACTACTTCAAAATTGGACTTTGTCCTGAAATGAATTAAATTATACATTTCAAACAGCAATTAGTTAGAAGAACTTTTCTATATTTATTATAATCTGAGTTATAACACAAGATTACCACATCAATAACTTCTATCAAGAACCCAAGCAGAGAGAAAACATTTCATGTATATTTTGTGAGTTATCGTAACAGGGCAAGTCTGTCTTTTTTTAAATAGTTCTATGATAACGTGCATTATGAGTTAAGTTTCAATGTGGGAATTTGGTGTGTCAAAACTGGGATGTGACACAAACATTATTTAATTCCCTTTACTCTTTTGAATTTGACTGCTGGGCAGGAAGAGGATAGGTCACACAAATCAGACATAAATCTCTTCACTTAATCATGATTTCTATTCCTTGGGAACAAATGCTGACTCGCTGACTCAAATTTAGTAAAGAGGAACTTTTTACCACAAACAGTGTGGCTGGGTTTGGCAGTTAAATACAAATTTCCCGATCTCCACTGTCATGCAGCTTGCATTCTTTCCAAAAAGTTACTTACTTTCTCCATAAGTTCGTTGTTAGTTTTGTCAAGAATTATGCATGTGTTTGTGCACTCTTAAATCATTATCGTAGCAACTGTAACATCTACTGAATCACATTGCGACTCTTATAGCCCTATGTTCACTAGAGGGAAAAGAAAAAAAGAAAAGTGGTTCTTACACACCAAATTTATGTAACCATATTAAAGTACACGCTACAGATTACGGCTGACGGGCTTAGATGCACTGTAGCAACATTCCAGCCAACAAATCAGCTTAACTTTGTTGTAGCCGATTAGATGGAAGAAGTCCTCTCATGATATATGTGATTTTCTACTTACAGTTGCAGTTTTGGTGCATCACTGTACATAGAGGAGGGGGATTATAATAAATAATGAATTAGAAAGGATTTGGAAGTGGCCATGGCCTAATTTAAGGTACTATCCTGGCATGTCTGGAGGTACTGAGGAAAACCATGGGAAAACCCAGTCAGGATAGGTAGTCCCCAGACCAAGATTTTTCCCTGGGACCTCCCGAATACGAAGCAGTAGTATTAACCACCTGACCATGACATTCACAGCATTCACTGCAGTCAAATTGGGGCAAATATAAAAGAATTATTATGCTATGCATGTATTTCTTAACTTGTTATACCAAAGATTCTTCTATTGTAAAGAAGACAAGTAAACACTCAATTTGCTTATGAAAGTGTGTAGTAAAATAGCTTTGATAAATTTTCCATGATATCTGAAGAAAATACAGGAATATAACAAATGTATAATAATTATTGAAGTAAACTGTTTTCTTGTTATTATCCATCGTCCAAGACCAAATAAAATAAAAAAAAAAATCGGAGATAGGGATTAGCTCTATCGATTGGGTCTAACAGAGTAGGTTTTACCTGAAGACGGAGATAGACTCCCATCTCCAAAACATCATGGTTTTATATTGATTTTATTTAGTCCTGAACGAGGGATAATATCCAGAAAACAATTTGCTTCAATAACACACCATCGTCACAAACCTTCAGCATAACAATTATGTGAATGTGGAAAATCCCAAAATATGGCAAGCATCTGGTCCCAAGTCTGGTGGATAATGGGTCTCTTTCAGTACATACACTCAATTTGTTAATTAACTCTTAATACTGCAAAATGAAGTACAGTAAGATAAGAATCAACATTTTAATAAGCCGTTTTTAGAAGTGACAAAGCAAAAGCTATAAGCATTAATTACATACCGACTACTTTTGCATGATACGCTTGTAATTACTACTTCAAAATTGGACTTTGTCCTGAAATGAATTAATATTTACACATTATTATACTCGTCAGGATTATTATACTCGTCAGGGTAACAATCAATCTTATCCATCCAGCTTCTTGTTGTTTTCAGCTCAGGACAATGTTCAACGCACATTATTACAAATATCCGCTTCATTATGTACAGAAGACGAGTGTGATGCGTGGTGTGTCCTTACCCGTGTTATGTACAACCAGAAAAACAATCTAGCTTACTTACAAGATAGCAATGATTGGTCAATACTTACACATTATCTACACTGACAAAGTCTACAGCACCGTATTCCACTCCATTCCGATGACCGTTGCTCTGGGGAGGCGGGGGTAGCGTACCGCTTGCATTAGTTATTAAGTCCTCACTAGTTTCCATTGGTTTCACAGCGTCTATTAATAATAAATCACTATTCAAACTAGAAGACACCATCTTCTCACTGCCACCATTCTCTTGGATATGATCCATAATGTTGGTACTGAAACTGTCCACTAGGAGACTCTGCTGGCCATTGCCTGTGGCGGTGATGTTGTCAGGTAAATCTAACTCAGAGCTGGGTAGTTCCACAGATGCAGCAGCCTCTCCTGGATGTGGCTTTGTTTCTTCCAGCGGACTTTCATCTTTCCCTTCTTCAATATCTCCTTCGCCCTATTGGAATACATCAAATCCTAGTGAGCTCGGGAAGCAAATGCTAATTTTAACGAGCAATACAGATATCATTGTACTGCTTCTTCAGTGCTTACAGATTTATTATTGACCTATGTAACAGTGGCACGATGATTATGTACGGCAAATTTTAAAAAAATTTAAGAGGAGGATGACCTTCAATAGCCATAGTTTGCATCAATTTGTGCTCATGTGTTCTATTAAAGTGCGGTCTAAGTACACTGATGTTTCTGTGAACATACCTTTGCATTTTCAACAAAGATTATGCAGATGTGCACTCTCGTGTTCCGAATATTTGTCTGGACAACGTTACAAAACGACACACTGCAAATTCAACATACTCAGCCTGGAAACCTGTCTCAGTGGTTGAAATTTTGCTTTTGGTTTAATGCACACCCAGTTATATCTTAACTTTTACCACAGATGAGACTCAACCTCCACATAATAGTACAAAGTTATTTAAAATATTATTCTGTTCTGTTGAAATGGGGCAACCAGCTTACTGGACCATTTGTCTTCTGGGGCCCTCTAACAAATGCTAGGTTTTTGTTTACAAGAACAAATTTTGAGAACATTCCAAACTGATGGTACAATGAAACAGGAGAAATGAGGTTTTCACAGCGGTGAGTATGAAGATTTCTGTCTGACCTCTGAAATGTTGGTTAACATCGACCTGACTACACAGCGCAACAACCCAGAAGAAAGAAATCTTCAAACAGGAGAAAGCATCTACAGCAACTCTCAAATAATATCATTTCAAAGTGTTAACTGGATAGATGAATATAAAATTGTATCAGGAGTGCCAGTCTTACTGAGGATACCATCTAGCAATGCAAAGTAGAAATGCTAGTACTGGATGACCACAAAAACAAAAGAATATTTTTACACATATTCAGAACTAGCATATATTTGAATTTACTGTTGAAAAAGATATTAAATATTAGAAGAAAATGCTTGCTATTGGGGGGGGATACGCAGAGACTCAGGTCTTTTCTTGTGTGAATCTCACTGGACTGAAAATTTAAAGCCCTTGTATTGGAGAATTATGTATGTCTGAAAGAATCTGCGAGCAGGTGGAACAAAAGTTCCTTTGTTTGTTGGTAAGTGCTCTCCTTGTACACCATCACATCATCTTTATACAAATGATAAGTCTGCATTCTTTGCAGTAAACTGCAAAAGAACATAAAACCCAGAAATTTTACAATGTACGAAAGAAGCATCAGAAAGTTTCAATAAAGAAACCTATGTTAAATTCAGCCCAAAATATATAGACAATGTACACTGTGAATCTAGTGGAATTTCTGCTTCAGGGTGAGCTGCACCGTGTGGCACGTGGAGTGGAATGATACAGTTCATATTCTGTGGTTGGCTACCAGCAATGCTAATGCCATCCAATTCCTCTTCAGTAAAAACCTGTCATTTTCCTGGTTCTTTTCTCTACCACAAACCCGGCGCATGAAATGTATCCGCGATCATATCTAATGCTGATTTACATCACACTGTTCATCATTCTTCAAGTGGCATTTTCTCTACAATACACATTTTACAAACACATCATATAACAAAATCCTTTATTCACCACTACACTACACTACACGTTCACAGAAACTGTTTTTGAGCAATTTTTTGTCATCAGAACTTCAAATTACGATGATGTAAATCATCCACTTTCAGAAAGTGTACAAGTACATGATTTGTGCACACAATACATAACCACCTTCAAAGAATACATTAAAGGCAATAACTCAATTTTGAAAAATGTGTGACTAATGTCATTTCAGAAATCCCTAATTCAACTGTATCAAATACTGAACTCCTGATTCATCTACATGGCAACCAGTCTGCTCTAGAATAAGGAACTACACAGTTCATGGAAGAGAAAGAAACGTGGCAGTATGGTGGATAGATCCCGTACTTTAACAGAGAGAAAGCCAATTCAACAGATGAAACAAGAAAATGTGAAATACAACAACATCCTTCAATTGAATCCTGAATGCTAAACTGTTATGAAAATAAAAGTCAGTACCTTAGTGGGTGTGTTGGATGAACCAGATCCCTTTCCTCGTGTGCGTAGCATGATGGCTTCAACTCGCTTGCGTCGAGCGATGCGTTCCTCCTCCTCCTTTTTCAGTCGTTCGTCCATTTCGCGGCGCAACCTAAAAATACACGTAGTTATAGCAATGAGCACCAAACTATTAGTATTTTCTAACAATTTAGGTTTTCAAACTCTGTTTCAGTAGCAGGTCAAAACATCCAACTGTCTACCACATTGTCTTAGGTTACCACTAATTTCCTTCCCTCACAAAACAGTCCCTTATGAGAGCGGATCTCAATACTTGGACAATGCAAAATGCAAGACGCATGAAACTGATAAAGTACAGTCAACACTGAACCACATCTACTAGAAGATAGTGACAAACATTTCAGAGGAGCTAACTCTGCCTCAATCACTGTTATCACCCTGATGATGGAGGAAGTAAGATCCTCAAAAACACTGTTAAATATTTACCAGACTACATGGTGCACAATTCCAGGAGACATCCATCCTAACGCTCATTGCCTCATGGAACTCCAAATTTCATTCAGAGAAGCATAAATACACATACTGCAGCTTTAATCACCTTGTGGATTTACATCTTTCTTCAGTTCTTATTTTAAAATTGCTACTTCTGTTGCTCCTATGATTATTACCACCACCATTATGCAAATTACATTAACAGTGACATTCTGTTCTAGTTTCCATAGGTGCAACAGATTTATGCCACCTAACTGCACCTCTCTGTATCTAGCCAATGTTCAAGAAATATGGAACAAAATTAATTTCATCAGACATTATGTTACTTATCAAATTAATTAAAACTTCAGAAACTTCCAATATTTTTTCATATGATCAACTGGGAATTCAGGGTTGTTCTGGTATTGCACAGAAAGCATATGAAGCATGACACGAGAAGCAGAATTTTTCAACTGCTCCAAGTGTCTCAGAAAAATTTTCACCTCTCTGCTTCTTCTCTTGCCTTCTTCTCTGCTTCTTCCTTTTCAGCTTTAGCCTTGGCCTCCTCTTCTCTTCTTTTTCTTTCATCTTCTTCCCGTCTTTCATTTTCCTACCAACATAAAGTAATGAAATTGCATTACTCTAAACACATTCTCTCCAGATATATGTGCATTCTTTAAGATCATAATGGCTGATGCACTGTTCCACCGTACTCTTCTTTCCAGTATCTCACAAGTGCAAGATATCTGAACACTACACATTAATTACATCACAATATAAAGTCATAATATTCAATGAAATGAGATGACTTGAAAAAGAATACTATGCGCATGAAACATATAAGTTAAATTACCTATATACAAGTTACAAAGATTTCAAAATTCGTGACACAGAAAATAAAGTGATGCAGTTACATGAATGGCCTGAAGCAATCGTTCCTCCTCTGCTCGGCGAGCTTCCTCCACTAATCTCAGCTGCTCCTCCTCAAATCTGCGTTGATCTTCTTCTTCCTGGCGCATTTTTCTAACCTCTGTTCCTCCTCCTGCAAAACAGGACAAGACAGGTTAGAGAATCACTACTTTTATTACTTCCATTCTCTGCCATCACTGCAAGACCAAAACACATAAACAAAACTGATACATGATATATGACATGATTATTAATAGATTATTGGCACACAGTTCTTGACGGTCCACAGTTTCATTCCCAAGTAAAGGATAAACATAGGAAGCCAACTGTCAAACTGTCGCCCTCAGTGGACTAGTGGTTAGCGTGCTCACCACTGGACCGAAGGTTCACGAGTACAATCCCAGCCACGGTCGATGGATTTTTAAGGGTGATAAAAATCTGTAACATAACTTCCTTTGGAGGGGAAGTAAAGCCGGCGATCCCACGTCGTAGATTTATGGCATGTAAAAGAAACTTACGAGCATGAATGAGATGTTTCATAAGCAAAATTTAGTGGCCATTTCTCACCCAAGTCTCCTGATTCACTGCTAGATGGCTCTGGCAGTCAAATCAGGATTGAATACAAATTGTGCAGAGTCAGTGAGCTGGTCACTCACTACTCACAAATGCACACTTTAATGGCTAGGAAACCTCTAAGTACGAGGCGGCAAGGACCCACAACTGGGTTGTACAGCCAAGGAACAACAACTGTCAAACAGGGATAACCACTGCATGCATATTAATGAAACACAAACAGGAAAAGGAAGGTCACATTACTTTCATTCATACAGTCCATTCTGTCAATATGGTGTTACAAAAGGCAAGACAGAGAGTTACTGTGAGTCACCTAGTTTTACTTTCACTACAGATTTCAGAATATACTTCTGAAGCACAAAACTTTAAGGACACAACAGTCAAATTGTGTACTCATTTAAAAAAATTAATACTACCACATAAAGTAAAAGTGAACTGACTTTCCTGCTTTTCATGAAATGAGGTGTCAATTCCAGGGATGCCATAAAATAATATGTAGTCTCTGACAGTTTTCAGTCTTGACTGAAGTTACGAACAAAAATCCTGTTTCACACAGGTACATTGTTGAGTAGGCATCATCATTTTATGCACCAAACTTTGCTAGTTGCCCATCTCAGTAACTGAATCCAGTAAGCAGATAAAGGTATTTTTCAGAACATAACTTTCAGTTCACCACATGAAGTAACATTCAAGAATTTTCTTGCTGCTGATGTGTCAGAGAATCATAATGCCTCCATCATGCTCACCACTTCAGCTCTGAAGATAAAGACAGTATGGTCTTCTGAAATGTCAGCAACAAGCCAACGCCTATACAGTTCTAGTACACAACAGCAGGTGTGACATCTGCTATGAATTGCCACAAAAGTTTAATATCAGTTAATATGCTACGGGTTTTCCCGTTTATGAATTGTTCAGTGTGTGTAGGTTACCTTCTTCAACTGTATTCAGTCACTTCAGGTGTCAGTTTTGCAAAATATTCGAGCACTTCCAGTTCTTTAAATTCGCTTAAATCAATTTTTTAGATATTATTTAATTTGGAGTCAACACCATGTTCCATGCTCTTACTATCGACTCGCACATCATTTCAAGTGACGGCCTTCTTTTCCTTCTGTTGGTGTCAACTCGTATGTCCACCTTTTGCGTGCACAGTTTCCTAATACTGTCCTTGAACAAAGAAGATCACCTTTTTGCTTCCTCCAGTAGAGCACACTAAATTCAGATGATACATTCACGATTGGCAGCTATGTTGCAGTCTTTTTCTGGGAATTTAGTTGCCTTTAATTTGAAACCTGCTGCATATCTTGAATATATCACTTTATTCATTGTGGAATATCATGAATATTATTTTCACAGAAGTCGCTACAGTTTTGCTCTCAGCCAAACTGAACTGGAAACACTGGAACTGAATACAAATAGCGATATCCTAAAACTGTATAGCAGATACTCAGGGTAAAGTTTGGAAATTCGTGGGCTACTCAACTTATGGGGCAACCTGATGACTGTAAGGCTCTTCAAATACATGTGCATGTTCAATATACAAATGGGGAATCATGAATCAGCTCTAGAATAAAAAGAAAAGTGTAAAATATTAAAGGATTTTTTTCCTTAATTTAAGAGTGAAAAGTCAGGGCATGTGAATTATGTGAGGGCAAGAATTACCAATTCATATCCTTCAACAATAAGTACAACTGGCTATTGTACACAAAACACCATTGAGAAGTAAAAATGATGTTTTACATTTTGGAACTCATATTCTCAGGTACTGGTGGAGACCAGCTGTCCAGACTGAGGATTTTCATGGTTTTCCTTAGTCCCTCGAGGAAATGCTGGGACAGTATATCAAATTAAGCTATGACTGCTATTTCAACATCTTTTAACATTTACTTTCACTGATTATCCTCTCATTTGATACGATACAGAGTTGTTAACTGAATGAATGTGAATAAATAAACTGAAAGTAATTGTAGATGTAATAATAAAAATGTTCATCTTGCTATTTAACACTTAAATACAGTGTGTTTCTTATATGCATCCCCTCACCAGTTTTAAATTATACTTGCTGACAATCATATTTTCAAGTGTACGAAAACAAACAGTCGTTGCATGAAACGAATTTTGTCGATATGGGGAATTCCGCTGTTTTACTATACAGTTGAACTGGCTGTGGAAGAATTTTTAAGTTTACTACAGAGCTTAAATGATGGCTGTAAAGTGTTCAGCAAAAAGTTTGTATGTGCTTACCAATCTCTGTCTCTCCAGTTCCGCTTCCCTCTCTGCCTGTTCTCGAGCTAAGCGTCTACGTTCTGCCAGCGCAGCCTTTGCTTCTACTTCTGTAGTGATCCGAATTTTTGCCATCATTGATGCTGAAATAATTAAACATTATAAACACAAAAAATCTGAAACTTATCACATATACAAAGGTCTATATCATTAAGCTGGTCCCTTGTCACCGTGGCATAATATGACACACTCATGAGTTTAGAACAGAAAAGATAACCTCCAGATATGAAGGACAGATGTAAATATGTCAAATAGAAAGCACTAAACCACCAAGAAAATAAAAATGGTCCTGAAGCATGGGGCTTGGGTTTCGGCCTAGTAGCCCCTCGTCGCAGAACTTAAGCAAGGAAAAATAACACAATATTAGGAATCATCTTGCAAAACCCTAAGAAATTCAATATTTATTAATGGGTCCCCCCCGCCGTCTGACGACAGGTCCATATATTATGAACAGGATCCTTCCATCCTCTTCAGGTTATCAGGGACCTGCTCATACATATATACGTTCTTGGTAGATGATCCAGAAGTGGTTTGCAATTGCCTTCTTCTGTGTGTGTGAGTGGAGTAATTGTTGGGATGCCACGGAGAAACCTGGGAAGCCCCCGGAGGAAAACTCCGTGATGCCTAGACCACGGCCTTGCCCAATACAAGTTATAAATCTGAGCACCACCGGGAATTGAACGCGGGACCCCAGGATTACAAGTGTTCTGACCGCTAGACCAACGTGGCATTATTTATAAGGTAGTAGTGGCATTATTTATGTACTTATTTATTTATAGTTTATATAACGACACTTTTTCAGTAGCTCAGACTATACAGCATCGAATGAGAGGATGACTGTGAATTGGAAAGAATGTCATGACCTAATATAAGGTACTATCCTACTAAATTTGCCTGGAGGTACTGAGGAAAAGCACAAAAAACCATGGTCACGGTAGCCGGTCTCCAGGCCAATATTTGAACCTGTGTACTCATATTTTGTGTTTGTTACAGGTGAACATCTTGAATTCAGAGTTCTTACTACATTACAGGAACAAAAAACAAATGTCCAGTCACTGCAGCATTATATTCCTTCCAGAAAGGATATCAGAACAGAAACACTGCATATGGAACAGGACATCTCTTCGATAATGAAATTACTAAACAATCATTATCTTAATACATACCAAGTGCTCTAACACACATAATGTAACTTGAAAAGTGAATAATTGGCTGCAGACAGACTCCCTATAGAAGAAATGGGTACACTACCTGTCATATCAACTTCAGGTTCAATATGCTCGGGATGTTCTGCTGCTTCAGGCTTCTCTACAACCTCCTCCTGAACCACTTTTGTCTCAACAGGCTGAACTGCCTGCTCAATTGCTTCCTCGTGGACTTCCGTCTCCTCTGCTACTGGTTTCGATTCCACTGTCACTGAAGCAGTTTCTTCCAGAGATGGCTCCACCTTTACATCTGGCTGCTTGACAACATCTGATACCTCCTCAGGAGGCTCTGCTTCATGAACTTCACTTTTCACAACAGTTTCATTCTTCTCTTCTCTTGATTCAATTTGATCCTCAGACAAAGACGGAGGTGCCTCTGATCCAGGGGACTGCAGTGGGGTGGCTTTAGGAGTCATTCGAGGGGAAGCCTATTACAAAACCACGAAAAAATGGTTTTACTTTTCCTTGACAACAATTACAGCAGCACACACATCTTTGCTTATGTCAGTAAGTGCGTATGTTACCTTTGCTGACTTAATCACTCTATCTGTAGCCTTCTTGACTGGAGCCTCAGGTTTTGTTAATTTCTTGGCAGAATGAACTCTGGGAAGTGGTGGTTTCGAACTCTCACGGTCAACATTTGTGTTTTGAGTTTTCGAAGTGTGAATATCCCCAGCAATGCCTGTAAGCAGTAGAAATCACTAAATGAAACATTATTGTGATAACTGTCATCTTAAACTTTTTAAGATTCCCTTTAAAGGAGGGAACTTAAGCATTATTTATACTTTCAAGAAAACAATTTTCAAACAAACCTGAAAATTTAGTGTTTGCATAGGGTGGCACTTAAACTGTCCTACCCAAGTGAGGAATAACAAAGAATGCTTATTATTTCTTCATATTTCACATGATGCAAAGTAACTGATGTTTAATATCCACACTATATATTATCAAAATAATTTATTTCATGTCCCTGATATTACACTTATAATGACGACAGTGGAAATGGGAGTGTTCATAGAATTTCAAGCACAGCTTCGACTATCGCATCAAACACCAGTCCTGATATGACTTTTAATGTGGTCATGGAGATTAACAACACTGACCCATATAAAACAGAAACTATGCTAGAATAAGTAGTAGTAGTAGTAGTAGTAGTAGTAGTTACAGCAGCAGCAGCAAGGATACCAGTGAAAGAAGAAGAAGGAGAGAAGAGACAATCTGATGATCTCTGGTATAAAGTTTCAGTCAAGATAAAGTTCCCTGTGCATGCTGAGGCAATAAAATGTGTTTACTGCTCTAAAGACATGCATCTTTAGAGCAATAAAAATATTTTTAAGCATCTCTTAATTTTTACTGTTTTCCTTTCCTATGACAAATACAAAACAATAATTCTTCCTGTTGTTTTGTATGAGTGCGAAACATGGTCTCTCACTCTGAGGGATGAACACAGATTGCAGGTGTTTGAGAATGGGGTGTTGAAGAGGATTTTGGGCCTAAGAGAGAAGACGATGGGGTATGGAGAAAACTACATAATGATCAGCTTAAAAATCTGTACTCCTCCCCCAATATTGTCAGGGTGATTAAGTCAAGAAGAATGAGATGGACGGGGCATGTAGCACGCATGGATGGGGCAAGAGGTGTGCACCGGGTATTGGTTGGGAAGCCTGAGGGGAAGAGACAGCTGGGGAGACCTAGACGTAGATGGGAGGATAATGTCAGGCGGGATCTATGGGAGATACGAGTTGAAGGAGACTGAATTTTGTTGGCCCAGGACAGGGTCCGGTGGAGGGCTTTGGTGAATCGGTGATGAACCTTTAGGTTCTGTAAGCCATCTAGTTAGTGAGTTAGTTAGGACAAGAGCAAAATGTTTTCTCAGGTCTTTCTATGAGACAATGCATTCAAATTTCAAATGCAGTCTTATTCTTACACATTAAATGTGCCAGTAGAATATGAACTTAACAAAACTGTGATTCTTCAGGAATTACTACAGCTGCTCCATTTTATAAAAAAGGAACAATAATACATTCTTTCCACTGTTGAGATAATTTTTCCTCATTTCACATAGAATGAATGAAGTTGCGCAGTGTTCTGCTGTGTACTTAGGCCAGTTCCATTGGAATTTTTACATACATGGAGATTATTTTTCATATTTTCAAAGGCTACTTCACCCCATCAAAACCTAGCTTAGGGGCCAGTAACTCAAAAGTTGGTTGGTCTTCAGTTCCATTTGCATTGTGTTACATTTAGTGACAGAAGAAAGGTACAATAGGATTGGTTGAATGAGAAGCATACAATTTACATATCCCAGTACTTGTGTACATGTACTAGAAAATGTTTTGACAGACAGAAATATTTTCACTATCTGAAACCAAAGAAAAAAAGTTCAATACAAACAAAAAAACTGTTAAAAATGACAATCTAAAACGCATGGCTTGATACATATAACAAATTTTCTTTCACCAGCCCTACAGTTTTCACATTTTCTGTGAAATGTAAAAACCAAAGCTAATAATTGCATTTCATTTATCTAATTTGTTGGATATACTGGCCAATATTAAAGTATTTGTATGAGACACCACATTTCTGACTCGTATTCCCATAAATTAATTTTGCTGATACTAATATTTAATAAATAGAAAACCAACAAACAGACTCTGAAATATTTCATGCAAATATGAGAATGGTTTTGATTCCTACATGTCTTCTCTAACTACATCATAAATTTGATTAACTTTACAAACGTATTTTAAGACTTCCGTTTATAGTATAAATATACAGCATAAAATTACAGAAAGTGTAGTAAATGTCTGTGTTATTCCAGAGTCTGTTATAAGATAAAGGACAGAAAAAGCAGAGTGCCTCACTATGTCTAAGCGAGGAGTGGCCTGCGTGGCTATCAGACTCGTGCGTCACGCCCGTCACTGCAATGCTGAAGGGACGAGGCCTACGGGATGCAGCAGCTGGGCGAGTACGGAGACTCACCCCAGAGTTGACACTGTTCACACTCTGTTGACTGAGTGCACTTAGAGGTCGTGATGGAGGTGATGGTGTCACCTCACCAGACCGCAACCCTAAGCGAAGCATCAGGAACCATAAGCAAGAAGCAGAAGTTCTATATATGTACAATTAAATACCTGCCATATTTAACATTGCATAAGTGTCAAAAAGTATGTTAAGACAGATGGAAAATTCTTCAACATAAAGAAATAGAAACTAATGCAACAAATGCTACTTTGTTCAAGGATGACAGTGATATTTTACACAATCACACAATCTATTAAAATAAACAGCATACAGCATGTACCTTTGTGTATATACGGAATCGTAATTAGTATTCGAGATTCTCACAGCTGCAAGTGCAAAGATGGCTATATACCCAAGGTAAACTTCTCCCTGCCTACACGCTGCTACAACCCAGAAGACAGCCATCTTCAAGGGATTCTAATCATTATAAAAATACAACACAGATTTACAAGTTTTAAAATTCTTGAAGCATAAATAAAGATGATGAACAAGAAACAATTTATTTTGTTTCAAAAGAACAAATGTTTCAGAAGCTGGCCAAATAAAATAAATATCAAGTTGGTCATTATATGAGCTCATTTTAATTATTCCTCATGCTCAGCTGCTACAAATAAAATAACACAAAAAACACACAAAAACTAAAGAAGACATTCTGTGAGGGCACAGAAAAAATCAAATAGACTCAACTCAGGAAATTAAATTTAGCCAAAGTAATATTTAAACATGAAGATGACTGTCTTCTAGTATGTTGTGCTGTGAGAACCTGAAATATCAATACTTAAACATTTCAGAAATAATTCTGTACTATAATTTTTTTTTTAAAATCTTCCAACAAACAGTCTGTTGTCCCATAAATTACAGCAGATTAAATACCAGTAAATGCACATTATACAACCAAATACATGTAAAAATGGCATTCTCCCTGAAGAAAACTGTGCAGGAAACACATCAAAAGCAGCAGAATATAAATCTCAAATCTTCTCGTATAATGCATTCTAGTTTCTTGAATGGTCTGAACTAAATCAATGCATAATGTGCAAACACCGGTCTACATGTCCATGTTGTATAACATAAAAATAAAATAAAAACCATCATTGAATGATCTTAAAAACCACAGATGAAAATGGTAAACCAATAATAAAGTTTGTAGGATGGATGACTTCAAACTAGCCACTTTAATACACCATTATTATTTTAATAGAATGCACTTCTTAAGCACATGTAAAACTGTATATTCAACCCTGTTTGTTTCACATCTTGCGACATCCACCCTAAGTCACCTGTACTGTTCAGAACATGCTGACTCCCTAAGCTGGAAGGTATAGGACCATCCCTGAAAAATAGGCCACACACACATGTATTCGCCGCCGCCCCCCTCAAGAAAGGGGACGTAGGTCAAACAAAAATATCAAAGTCATGGTGGCACAGTGGTTCCAGCAGCAGCCCAGAGAGTTCTACACAGAAGAGTTACAATGACTGCGGCATCAAGGCAATGCCAACCTCAGCATCGATGGACATCCTTTTTTAATGGTCTCTACTCTTTTGCCCAGAACACCAGAATGGGTTTCATCTGAACAAGCTTCATGTTACAACTTGTTATCCATAATGGTGGAAGGTGTGTCCAGAATATCATTCATGTGCCCCATAATACACTACTGCTAATGATTAACTTACAGAATGTCTTCCTTCACTAAGTTCATTTGATAAATATATGTTTCAGTGTTTCCCATACTTAAAACATATGTGTACCCCTTTCAGAATCTTAGGCTTATTATGTACTACCCCCTTCCAAATTATATAAGACTCAGTTAACTCGCAAGCGGCCGAACCAAACCAAATTTTTGTTAAGCTTTAGGTATGAACTAAAATAAAAATAAGAATGTACAGAAACTTACAAACTTTATCTCAATTAACAAATTTTAGAATTCATCTGAAAGCATACAGAAACCAGGAACAATTTTTAATAATTTATTTTCTAAGTAGGATTTGAGGTTTTCATAGCAGTAAGTCTGAAGATGGTTGTGTCCATGGTTGTTTTGCCATGTAGTCTGGTATAAGTTTACAGATGTTTCAGAGGTCCTCGCTGCCTCCATCACCATTGTGAAATGTCAGTAAATTTCCACCAGACTATACGGCGCAACAACCCAGAAGACAGCTGTCTTCAAATATTTTCTGCCATGTACCCCTTAAAATCCTTTCACATACCACTGGTGGTACACGTGCCACACTTTCTGAAACAACGGTTAAAGTTGTAGGTGAATAATTACGTTAAGAGGCCAGATAGGCCACACAGAAAAGCAGAGCAGTGCAGCCAACAGCAATGGCATCCTCTCACCACCACCACCTTCATCTTGCCGAGTCAAGAAACATGCAAATTTCACTCTCCTGTTAACAGTCGTTTTGTGAGAGTACATACAAAACATTAAGTAAGGACTTAAAATACTACAAGGAACCTTCCATGCTTTTTCCCTGCTTCCACCACCAACAATTTAGATTATCAACTTAAAAAGCTGGTCACAAACAAACAATATTTATATTGTTTGTTGAAAAGATGAAGGATTCTGAGGTAACGTACAAACTCTTTCACTTCACTAGCAAGATGTAAATTGCTTTTATCAATGTTGAAATTGTATTAATCTGTCATTTCCTGTCTTCATTCTACATACTGTATAACCTTTCTACTTATCTCTATCCTCCCTAACATTGCATACACATAAACCTGTGATGTGGAAGCTACACTAGCACTACTTAATATAGGACCCTTAAATTATACAAAATAATATATTATTAAAAATATGCAACATTTTTATAAAACAGAAAACAATATGGTAGTCACGTGAACATTTTCCTTAGCCGCATTCCCACACGAACAAACAAATCACTTGGACTAAGCATTTGAATTTTGGTATGGTGATAACTCATAAACATTCCCACACATTATGTTACATGAAGATTGCTATCTTCTGAGTTATTGCGCTGTATAGTCTGGTAGATGTCCACCAATGTTTCAGAGCTCATACTGCCGCTGCCATAAGGGTGATGACAGAGGCAGTATGACCTCTGAAACGTTTGTAAGAACAGCACTACATACACAGAGCTAGTCTAAATGATGTTCCCGATTTGAAACACGTTACTCACATTTAATGAAATTCAGATGCACAAAATTGGTACTGATGGAAAGAGAAACTCTCCAAGTTTATGTTGGTATACTTTGCGGCCGCGTAGTAACACTGTTCACCAGCAGGGGCGATATGAGAGTAAACGGCTGCCATGGAAGACAGGGGAGCCTTTTGTGTCCTGGATTTGCACGTTCACCAGTCTGTTATTAGTGTGCAACGGCATTTCCGAACCAAGTTTGCGGCAGATCCACCCAGTGGGTATACAATTCGTAAGTGGTATTCCAAATTTAAGAAAAGGGGCTGCATCTGTAAGAGAAAGTCAACCGGCCGCCCGTCAGTAAGCGAGGAAACGTGTCTGGGAGGAACTTGACTACAGGCTGGATGTGTGCCGAGTTACCAAGGGGGCTCACATTGAACACCTGTGATGTACTGAAACAAAACTTGGAGAGTTTCTCTTCCCATCGGTACCAATTTTGTACATCTGAATTTCATTAAACGTGAGTAGCATGTCTTTCAAATCAGGAAGATCAATTAGACTAGCCCTGTATATGATAATATGAGACTGAAAATCATGAGGTTTTCTGCTATACACAATCATAAAATGTCCTTACTCAATGTTTGTCTTATCCACTAAAATAGTGAGTTACCTTTCCTTAGCACAAGATGAAGGAAGAAGAACAATATTCTTGATAATAATTAAACACTAAAGACATACTTACATTTGAAGATGCTCAGGAATAATACTGACTGTCATGCAACTGAAGAATAATGCATATTATCCAATAAAGCAGCAAGTAAAGCACATACTACTATTCACATTGATTCTGAAATTCTACAAAGCAATATCACAAACAAAATACAGGGGCTGCCTGACACCAATTTTCCACCAGATGCAACTAATTAGAACTTAAAACCTGTTGCGATAAACATATGCAGGACATCACAAGGCCTTCTGAAAGGTGGTAAGCTGTGGATTACAGATTATAGCATATTTAAATTGCAAGTAAATACACATGACATTCTGAAAACTAAACTACCATACACACGTGGACAAATCCTTCTATCTACACATAACACTTCCTTGCAATATCACCGACAGTGCGTTTATTTTACACAGTTAATGTATGGTTTAAAGTAGCAAACATGTCTGAACTCTACATTGTCATCAGGCTGACAATATCAATTGACAAAGTTATCTAATACAATGATCATAGACTTTGCCTTTAATACAGTAAATCCTAGTGTCAGGAGGCATTCTGTGCATAGAAAACTTATACAGAATGGCTAACAACAGGATGTCTGCAGCTGAAGAACATGTTTCTGGGCTCAATTCTAGTCAAAAGGAATCTATGAACATTTATCCAAAAGTCAGTCATCTGGAGGAAGCGGGTATTATAAGAATCAAGGTCACTGATGGAGTAACTGTAAAATGTAAATTTAATTACTTTTATTAAATTTAACTTGCATATATTTACAAAAAATAATTATATCATCATCGAGGGCAAAATCCAAGGAAAAAGATCTGTTGGTAGATCCCAAAACTCCTGGATGAAAGACCTAAGAAGATGGTTCGGATGCACCTCAATAGATATCTTTCGAGCGGCAGTCTCGAGGACAATGTTCGCCATGTGGATCGCCAACCTTCGTTCGGAGATGGCGCAATAAGAATAATAATTAAATCTTGTGAATTACTAATGGTTAAGTTGATGGAGTGCTTGAAATTACCTCCCTGATTACCTACACACATTGTGACATGGAAGTAGTAACACACCTCAGAAGAGAGTGTTGATAATTTTTTATGCGAACGGAAACATCTATTTTGTGATATAACAGCTCAGACCTAGTGCTCAACTTCAGTGGATATACCAGGGACTTCATAGATCTCCAAAGACATCAATGGCCAAGCAAATGAACCCTGATGCCCAATC